AATGAAGTCAATACGCATCAGAAGTGAGTTACTGTATCCCATAAGAATGAACGATGGTGAATTTTTCCGCGATTTTTTCGCATTGAAGTATGCCGCGCACTGTTAATATAACGGTAAAGTAATGATATATCCATTAATCAGCCTCATTGGCAACTAGATCTGTTCTGAACAATTTTAAGACCAGCCTCCATGAGGAGTATCAGATTCTTTCCGTACAGGTTGGAGATCCAAGGGCGTCATTTAGACGTCCGTAGAGCCGCTCGCCATACAGCCCTCGCCTGGTTCACTTTCAAAGAGCTTTGTGACAGACCATTAGGAGCAGCAGACTACCTTGCTATTGGTGAGATATTATAATAATCGATCACCAGGGCGAGCGCTACACGTGCATTCCTTTGTAGGCAAGCATTATCATACGATTTTCGTTGAAGATATTCCCGTTCTTACAATCCATGAGCGAGATCAGGTGGGTTCGGGGGCTGTTTGCAGCTTTCCAAAGTCGTTTATCGGAGTAATTTGGGGAAATTCCGTAAGTTTATGGAGCGGGATAGTGACAAGATGTGGTTATTCATGACTATCGTGGACGTTTTACTGTGCGTGAGAAATCCCAAAGCTATCGTTCGTTGTTGATAAGGTACGTCGATTTATCACGCTCATTGACGGGCTATATGAAGCTGGCACCAAACTAGTATGTTCGGCGGAGGCCGAGCCTGGTAGCAGAGTTGGTCGATTCCCTTCAATCCCCTGGCAGACGTTCTTGCCAAGAACTTCTTGGACGCTCGAAATTTGAATTCTCACTCACTTTTTCAGCCGCATGTTTTTCTATAATTTCTATAGATGGGCAGCGTAACGTTTTTTACGGTGTGCATAACGTAAGCAGCTTACGGTTACGGAAAGGCCTCACGAATTTACGGTGGGTGCTGAACTGCTTTTTGAGAATTGTGGCGGAAACATTCGCTGAAATGTACTCCACGATAGCTCAAATAGTTGTTAAACTCATTTCTTGTGGCTCTGATCTAACCGAACCGCTGAGAGAGTAACATCTGGTTTCGCATTTACCAATCGTCTCCTTCGCAAATTCCGTCCGTCTTGCTTCCAGGCTGTCTTGGAACTGCTAAGCCGGCGCCGTCTACGCATGCGCATTCACATGAAGTAGATTTAGGCGACTTGAGTTATCAATTCTCGTTTTGTCCTCTGCATCTCCGTAAGACCCGTTACGGCGCCGCAATTTTATGGTACGGAACTTGAATCGTAACCGTAACGAACCGAAGTGAGCCGTAACGATCCGTAACGTAATTCCGCCCATCTATAATAATTTCGCTCAAAGCAGTAGTGCAATGGAGTGTTCCCTTAGAATGCCAGAGGACAGGTTGAACAAATGCATCAGCATTCTTCAGGTGCTCTCTTCCGGATTAGCGATGAAGACAAGTCGAGCTCAGCGTTCGATGAAGTCTTCGCTTGGGATCGAACCGTCTCCAGATTGATGGAGGTGATTGTGCTGCTACGGACGTCTGCTCATCCGTTCAGCTATTTCGTCAGATGCAGTCGGGAGAGTACCTTTCGGAGCACGCCAGGAAGCTTAGTGCTGATGAAATGCTCGGCCAATACGAGTTAAATAACCTCTCTAAAGAAGACGTTGACGATTTGTGGTTTAGGTGAGGAAATAGATCAATCGGGCGAGCGTAGAAATGTTTAGTAGGTACGATCGTGATGATAGTGGTTCGATCGATGTGTCCGAGCTTACACTTTTACTCGAGGACTTGACGGAACATGTGGAGGGTCATCGGAATGTACCGGCCGAAGTGGTGATCGCCTCGATGGATTTTCTGGATCTCGACAAGAATGGAGTTATCGACAGAAACGAATTCGAGCAATACTGTCAGAAATATGGTTTAGCATTCGCCGGTCATATAACAGTAGTTAATGCTGAAGCGTGATCCGTCGCAGTGGTGGCTACAGTTGCACATTACTGTTCATATGACGTCTTGTCTCTCACTTTCTTTTCACTCCTGTAGTCCGACGTTTTCTCTTTAATTCTTTCACATCCTTGTAAGATTGGTTTGATTGGAGCGTTGAGTTTGTCGGTGATTGATTGGTGAGCTTATCGAAATGGTCATCATCGTACCATCGTTCTCCCCAATGGTTGATAGTCAAGTCAATAATCCTGATCATTGCGGTACGACATCTCCCAATGCTCAGGATTATCACCAAAAGTTACACCACACATTAGTAAAACCTGGATCGTTTTGGCTGTGGTCAAGATAGTCAACCGTTTTACAAAATCAAATGGAAAAAACACATATTTCGACATTCCTTCCTACGGGTCATCCGTGAAATTCATGGAGCCACTAAAGTTGCTCCTTAGCTGTGCCTTAAATCTAGGAATGCCTCGACAAGCTTCTTAATAGTGTGCTATAAACTGAATGAACGCTATATGATGTATTACGTCGAGGCTTGCTGGAGCCGAACGGAAGACCCATTTTTCTCACTGACCAAGGCATACATCATAGTGATCGCCACTCAAGCCCTTTAACACCATAAATCCCGTGACGGCTGGTCATTGATTGGTGTAACACAAGGTGGTCTCCTCGGGTGAGGGAGGTACAGCGTAGAGCGGCAAACTGATCGTACCAATTGTACGGCGAGAGGACTATTATGTGCTCGTATAACATGCACGAGCAAAGATACGTCAGTGTGGAACGGTCTACTGTACGAACGAAAGATGTGGGGTGGTCATGATATCAGGACATCGCAATGAAGCGGCCAAAAGTCAAATAGAAAGTCATGACTGTCATGACATGATAGACTTCTCGCAGTAGGCAAGAGATCTCGAGTGAGATCATCTACTCTACCAATATCCACCAGTGAAGAAATTCTCGGAGATACTCTGCATTCCACTGGGATCATCCAGAGATATTGTATGACCCGCGTCAAGCACCTGAATGAACCATTGATAAGCTCTGGGTCTCGAGGGACCTCGGAGACAATCCACGAGGCTGTACTTTAATGAATGCGAGCTTTGCTCCATTTGGATACTGTGAGGCCCACATCTTGCCGAAATTCCTACCATCAACCTACGAGAGCCGTAATGGGGTAACATCGTTGTGGAAGAAACTAACCTTCATATCCTGAACCGGGGCTTCCTTGAGCAACCTCCCGTAGTCTTCAACTCCTTTCAATGTCGAAACCCAGTCGAACGCACCGACAGCGCTGGTTGCAAAATCTTGGTCACCGTTCACGACAAGTACCTTGATGAGATCGTACGAATTTGTTATAGTTATATCATTCGCCGCCTGATTGAAGAGATGCTCTTTATTCAGCTTTATTCAGTACTTCTTAGGTAATAGTACACAGAACGGTACGTCATGCGGATAACCCCACGAAAGGCTTCCTGACAGCTCACTTTCAATCCTGCATCGAGGAGACTTGTGACCTCATAGGTTGTATCATAGGCAGCGAATCCAAGGAATCGATTGCGGACCTAATATCAGTATCCTTCACATAGAATACCACCGAGTTGGAATACTACCTGAGTATTGCGCCATATCCACTTCTTCGAAACGCCCAAGGCTTGCTGCACAGACTGCTGGTTCAAGAAACCGCGCACCTTCGAGTAATATGCGGTCCATTAGGGATGAACCCCAGAATGATAAGATATACATCGACTTCAGATAAGAGCCATGATACAGGCTGGTAAAAAAATTGTCCAGCGCCGATCTAGATGAGTTATCGGTCGAGTATAAGAATGAAATTGATAGCATTCAATCAGAAACTTGTAGCTTTCTCCAGCGGTATACGACTCACTTCCACACGAGCTCTGACCTCTGAGAAATCCGACTTTAAAAAATTATCGGCGGCCCAACGTAAATTATTGAGCTTTAATCCTGTATTCCGAGAGGTT